TCTTTCCTTCTCCGGGATCTCCATTTCTGAGTTAAAGTCTGAATTTTTAGGGGTTTGGGTCTGGTTGCTTATTCTGGGGTGTCACCAAGTTTCCTTAATCAGCTAAATATCGAACCTTCTTTGGTTATTTCGCTTTGATTCCTGTTGGGTATTTCCTTTTTTATTTTTAATCTGTAAGGAATCTGAATGATTTTGATCTTCGAGGATACCCTGAATCGGTGAATTGGTGTTGTTGTTTTGGTTTGAAGATGGTTGTTGGTACTAGTTGTGGGTTAAGGTGATTTGGGAGAGTCGTAGATAAGGGCAAGGAACAACTGAACAAGGGATAAGGATGGCAGCAGAGTCAAACGCTGGATTTCACAATGAAGATATGGATTCTGTTTTCAATAGGCATGCAATATCGTTTCAGCCTGGTGCTATTAACCGCATGTCAGAGATGGTTCCAATGGGTAATTATTTTGGGTTAAGTAGTTCCTCTGGGATGATATATTCTGGGAATTCAAACATCATTAACAGTAATCCTGTCATGAGTCAAGCTGGTAATTCTTCCGGTTCTTCGCTCCTTCTTGACTCGGTCCCAGGGCTGAAACATGACACAGGGTTGGCTGTTGAGTGGTCTGTTGATGAACAGTACAGGTTGGAGGAGGGTCTTTCAAAGTAAGTTGTTTGTTGTGACTAGGTTATGTTATATCTTTTTTTTTTTTTTTTTTTGTTTCATTATGGCTTCTATGTGTTACATTGGTGCATGCTAACTCAATTTCAATTTACTTTTTCGTGATGATATTAATTTCGGATCTTGGATGGACAGAATTTTTTATTTTTTGTTTGTGGGATGAAGCAATTGCCACTTGCCAGTTGGCCCTTTCATATCCGTGAACTAATAATGCTGTTTGTCTTTAAGCCAAATCATGAAACATAAAGCAATCATGCTGTCTGTGTTTGTATCTGTGAACTACATGCTTTATTTTTCTTATAATGATCTTCTCAATTTCCAAATTTTGTTTTCCTTTGACATTTCAATTCCTAATTAAAATGCTGCTAACTACTAAGTAATCCTTACATTGGTTGGATGGGAATGGGAATGAATGCGCCCCATATCCCTCGCCTCCCATCTTTGCATTGTCTCCAGTATTGGGGGATTTGGAAGGGATGGAAAAGTTTGTGAATTGTCAATTGTGTTGACTAAATTATTCTATATTTGAATACTTGAGTTATTTGTCGTTGTAAAGGTATAATAGTAAATTAATTTGTTTTCCCTCCCATCCCCTTGCTAACCAAACAAGGGATTCCTTCCTCCTACCTTTCCATTAAAATCCCTCTCTCCCTAGTCCCTTCACCATTGAACCAATCAGATCTTAAGCTTTTCTCTTTTTTTAAAAATTACTTGGGTTGTAGTGGCTATGCTAAATTTTTTTTGGTGTTATATGTTATAGTGCTGATATTTCTTTCTCGTTATACAGTTTATATTCCGTGACCCTTGTTTTCGTGATTCTTTTGTTTTGTGACTAGATATGCTAATGAGCCTAGTATCATGAGGTATATCAAAATTGCTGCACTGTTGCCTGATAAAACGGTTCGTGATGTTGCTTTGAGGTGTAGATGGTTGACAGTAAGCTCTTTTTCTTTCAACACTTGCTCCAATCTCCATTTTTAGTTGTTGCCAATTATGATACCTATGGAATACCAACTATAGAAGAAAAAATTAAATTTGAAATGCATTAAACCTGAATATGTTGTGATTAATTACCTGAGGCTGAAAGTTGAACAAGCATAGTGGAACTTCCTTTTTCCAGTGCATTCAAATTTACTTGTCTCCCCACTTCCTCCTACACCTTAGTGTTTGGCATTGTTACAAAGGCTCAAGTTTTACATGGCTGTGTAGCTAAAGTGTTGTATAAGCAACACTGCAACAGTGATATCGGTGGTTTAAAGGCAAGGTTTTAGATTTTGGTTGTTGTCATGGTAGCAGTTCCAGCAATTGCAGAAAAATGCAGGAAAATAAAGCTGATGGAACTTTCAATTTGGCCAAAATATGGTTGTTGTGGCTGCAATGGCCACTTCAGATCACAATTTAGAACCCTATTTAAAGGTTGTGTTTCATCTCATGATCAAATAGACTCTTAATAACATAAACCGAGTTAACTTTCTTTGCTCTTTTTCTTTTCATTTAAAAGTTCAAAAATTATGAGGGTCCTGTATAAAGTTTTATCCACAAAATAGAAAGTTGTGCACTGTATGAATATAATGCATTAAGCATTGGACTTGGGTGATTATGTAGTTTGCCCCTTTATATCTGTCGTGGAAGCTTAAAGTACCGTTTAAACTATTTTGCAGAGAAAGCGAAGGAAATCAGAAGAACACAATCTGGGAAAGAAGGTCAATAACAGAAAGGTACATGAAATCTCGGAAGCTGGTGTACATATACTATGTTTCTTGTAATTTAATGTGTGTTGAAGAGTTGTGAAATTAGTCGTAAGTATTTTTCCCTGATTCTGTACTTGATGTTTTATCATTTTTGTACTATGTAGGTGTTGAATTTCAAATATATTTTTTAAAATAAAAATTTTAAAAAAATTTACCTCTAAATTTGATGATTATGAAAAGTTCATTTTAAACTCTAAACATTGAAAAAAAAAACTGAGTTGTTGGTTTAAGTAATTGTCATTGTGTATTCAAAGTCCCTGTATAAACGATGATCTGCATATCATTTTAAACACCATTTGAGGTTTTCTCTGTTAATGTATTATGAATTCTCTCTTTTCTCCCAAGTCCTAATCTTTGCATTATCCCTAGTTTTATCCATGCTTATGATCCCCAATTCTCACAAATTATAATTTATACCAAATGCCAACATATTTGCATGCGATTAGTCCAGTAAAATTACGTACTTCCCCTTAAACTTGTTGAGATTAGCCTAGATATTAGCTACTGTTGAGATTAGATTTGTTATGATTTAGCTTTCTGTTATTATCCTATGTAACTGATTTGATTACACTAGGGAACTTGTATTTTAGTTATCCAATCCCAAAATTATGGAGATTTCTTTGTACATTTCTATTCCTATATTATAAATTGCATTTTAATTTGTGCAATGCACATGATAAATATTTATTTTATATAACTAAAATTTATAATAAATAAATACTTTTGAGTGTATAAATTATATTATATATTATAACTAAATCAAACCCTTGGGATTAAATTTTTGTATTTTTTTTCTCTAACTTATGTATAAACAAGTTCTTGCGATCCACTGCTGAAAAAGCATTTAATAGCCTTCATTAAGCACGTAAAGAATAAAAGTTTTTTGGATTTAATAGCCTTCATTAAACATCTCACCATTTCATTTACTAATTTCTATTTTCTTTAACCAATGCGCTCAGGGTACTCATTAGCAAATTCATTGTTAATATTGTTGTTTTTGACCAAACAGATACTGTAGTATAAAATCAGTTGCTTTGAGTTCTCTCAACCTGCTTAACTATCTCGTCAAGGATGTTGATGATAAACTCAAATAATAACAAAATATGATTACGTTGCATCCCATAAATGGGATTCCAGTTTTGATATATTGAATCAATAATGTCTTTAGGATCTAATGTTGATTGAAGAACCAGTATTCTAAAGTCATGCTTCTTCAGGATAAGCCAGTGGAGTCAGCATCAAAGATGCATTTACATTCAGCTCTGCCCCCAAGCATGGCTACATATTCTCGCATGTCACATCATATGAACCAAAGTCAACGGATACAATATGATGGTTAGTGTGTATATATATATATATATTATTTTTTTAATTGTATTTAGTATAATTATAATGTAATTTCACATCATTTCTTTTTGTTCTGTTCAATTTCATCATTCATTACTTTGAAACTTTTTGCATAGAAAATATCAAAATTTAGAGCTCTTGACTGTCAGTCTAAGAATCTATATGTAAATAAATTACATCCCTGAGGAAGAAATATATTACTGTTTTTAATATTTTTAGAGTGAAAATTATATTTCAAACAGACTTTATTGTTTTTTAATTATTGAAACTATAAATATGTTTTTTGAAAACATTTCAAAACAAGCTCTTAAACTCTAATTTCCCACATTCCTATCCTAGTATGTAGTAATCATGAATCCAGCAATTATGATCACTAAATCCCAAAATAAAAATGCATCAATATTAAATACAATAATTGTAGAATGTGGAGAATTGGTCCACATGCTGTTAAGTTATCCCTGCTGGCAAGGCAAGCCAGCTTTCTACTATCTATGCTAAAGAAGAAGAAAAAATTGTACATATTATCATTCTTTATGGGTTCAGTTAATGTTCTGTTATATTTAAATGAAGTTCTGGTAAATTTTAGTTTATGCTTTTGTGTCAGGTAAATGGAATGTCAATATCTGCTTTTGTTTATCACTGTTCATTTTTTAAATATATGTACCCATCCCCATTGGATTATAATATCAGCTTACAATAGAATCGCCCCCACCCCCAGCTTTTGTGGTTTCTCTTTCTTTGTCACTAAACCAGTGCCCTTATTTTCTTCAAATACTTTCTTCGTCATGTGCAATCAGGATTTTGTAGTCGTTTGAAGCAACTCATGGAGCAGAATGCTCAAGCTTTTAATCAAATCACTGCCAATTTGTCTACTTACAAGGTAAAAACGGTCCAATGCATTCGTTTTTGTTTCTTTAGCAATTTTGGTCTTTTGAGTGTATAAATTATATTATATATTATAACTAAATCAAACCCTTGGGATTAAATTTTTGTATTTTTTTTCTCTAACTTATGTATAAACAAGTTCTTGCGATCCACTGCTGAAAAAGCATTTAATAGCCTTCATTAAGCACGTAAAGAATAAAAGTTTTTTGGATTTAATAGCCTTCATTAAACATCTCACCATTTCATTTACTAATTTCTATTTTCTTTAACCAATGCGCTCAGGGTACTCATTAGCAAATTCATTGTTAATATTGTTGTTTTTGACCAAACAGATACTGTAGTATAAAATCAGTTGCTTTGAGTTCTCTCAACCTGCTTAACTATCTCGTCAAGGATGTTGATGATAAACTCAAATAATAACAAAATATGATTACGTTGCATCCCATAAATGGGATTCCAGTTTTGATATATTGAATCAATAATGTCTTTAGGATCTAATGTTGATTGAAGAACCAGTATTCTAAAGTCATGCTTCTTCAGGATAAGCCAGTGGAGTCAGCATCAAAGATGCATTTACATTCAGCTCTGCCCCCAAGCATGGCTACATATTCTCGCATGTCACATCATATGAACCAAAGTCAACGGATACAATATGATGGTTAGTGTGTATATATATATATATATTATTTTTTTAATTGTATTTAGTATAATTATAATGTAATTTCACATCATTTCTTTTTGTTCTGTTCAATTTCATCATTCATTACTTTGAAACTTTTTGCATAGAAAATATCAAAATTTAGAGCTCTTGACTGTCAGTCTAAGAATCTATATGTAAATAAATTACATCCCTGAGGAAGAAATATATTACTGTTTTTAATATTTTTAGAGTGAAAATTATATTTCAAACAGACTTTATTGTTTTTTAATTATTGAAACTATAAATATGTTTTTTGAAAACATTTCAAAACAAGCTCTTAAACTCTAATTTCCCACATTCCTATCCTAGTATGTAGTAATCATGAATCCAGCAATTATGATCACTAAATCCCAAAATAAAAATGCATCAATATTAAATACAATAATTGTAGAATGTGGAGAATTGGTCCACATGCTGTTAAGTTATCCCTGCTGGCAAGGCAAGCCAGCTTTCTACTATCTATGCTAAAGAAGAAGAAAAAATTGTACATATTATCATTCTTTATGGGTTCAGTTAATGTTCTGTTATATTTAAATGAAGTTCTGGTAAATTTTAGTTTATGCTTTTGTGTCAGGTAAATGGAATGTCAATATCTGCTTTTGTTTATCACTGTTCATTTTTTAAATATATGTACCCATCCCCATTGGATTATAATATCAGCTTACAATAGAATCGCCCCCACCCCCAGCTTTTGTGGTTTCTCTTTCTTTGTCACTAAACCAGTGCCCTTATTTTCTTCAAATACTTTCTTCGTCATGTGCAATCAGGATTTTGTAGTCGTTTGAAGCAACTCATGGAGCAGAATGCTCAAGCTTTTAATCAAATCACTGCCAATTTGTCTACTTACAAGGTAAAAACGGTCCAATGCATTCGTTTTTGTTTCTTTAGCAATTTTGGTGCAGCTGATGATTTATTATTAACTATACGTGGCATTTGACCTGCCTCAATTTTGTTATGGATGAATAATTCATATCATGTTTGGGAAGATAAAATTGTCAGAGATAGAAGAAAAGTATCACAATCACATGTGGCGTTGATAATTTATCAGTCATGTTACTGGAGTCAAGGTTTGATATGCCATATAAGATAGTGATTGAATTGTCTGTCTTATTGCTTTAATTAAACTTCTTAATGAATGGAATTACTCTGATACATCCACGAATTTCCAAATTTACGTTCATTGAGTGCAAATATTACATTGATATCTCTCATATCTCAATGTCCATTGTTAAGTAGGCTCTCCATTCGTGTCACTTTACTCTGCATTAGGGGGAAAAAAATCATGTCGAACATTTGTAGATAATAATCTGAGTTGAGAATCGGTTTGTGGGCAAGTGGCTTTATACTTCCTATCCCCGGCCTGGTTTTTGTCCGAGTTCTTTCTCTGCATTTTAATTACATTACATTAAAATGTGATAATGATCGTGTTCTTTGTTAAAACAGTTGCAGGATAACATCGACCTCTTTTGCCACACAAGGCACAATATTAATACCATTCTTAACGAGTATGTGAATCTTGTGAATGAAGTTTGCTCACTTTTCTGTTCATATCGTGCAAATTCATTTTCTTTTATATTTGGATTTGATATGTTTAGATATTATGAAGCTCACTAGTTAAGTTTGTGCAGTATGAGAGAGATGCCTGGCATTATGATCCGAATGCCGCCACTGCCTGTTACCATTAACGAGGATCTTGCAAGTAGTATTTTGCCTAATAGAACATAGGTAAGCTCTTGGTAAACTTCACTCATGCTTCCATGTGTTTTATGAGTGCAAGTGCATGATTCATTGCAATCATTGTCCACAGACATTGCTATATGATTCAATTTCACTGATTTGCCTAGTTGGTTTCCAAATTTGAAGGCATCCCAGCTGTCACTCCCTTTTGCTACCAAACAAGCTAAAATCAGTGAAGTTTTTCAATATAGAACTATTCAAATGCATTATTGTTTGGCTGAATGTTGGTGTATGCATCTTTCTTCATGATGTGTATTTCTTAGGTTTTAAAAATCTTATAAATTTTTGCAGTATATACTGTACCAAATTTTTTTTAAGAGTCTGTTTGGATACAGATTTAGAAAAACTTCTCTACTGAAAATAAAATTTTTACTCTTAAAACTTCTAAATTTGTATTTAAATAAACTCTTAAATATAGAATATCAGATATAGAAGTTGATTGGTTTATGCATTATGAATTGAAGTGGGCAAAGTGTAGAGAGGTTGGGATTTTTGCGTGCTGCAACTGTTTTGGTGGTACATGGCATTGAGGAGCTAGGGAGTAACTCATCTTCTACACCATCTCAGTACTTTCCAGAGTTTCTGATCCTATTGCTCCCTGCTTTATTTATTTCATTTGAAGGAAACCTTGGAACTCCTGTTGTATAAACAAAACAAAACATTTTCCTTGCAAAAAAAAGGGTAAATAGGAAAGCAATTAATATAGCAATGGTTTGAGCTGAATGCACCGTTATTGATTTCTGAGTTCAGGTGTTTTTCTCATGCCATAGGAACAATTATTATTGTAGATCTATGATGCTAGTTTGTCATCGACTTCAAATTTAAGTAATGCTCATATTTAACTATTCATAGCTGTTAGTGTTATGTAATGTGTTTACATACATTACTTGTTGGTTCTACATGCTTATCATATATTTATCGTTTTCTATTGGGAAATAAATCAATTCTCATTTTTAAAAGGAAAATATCTATTATATTAAAAATAAGAGTAATTTAACACCTTTTTTCTTTTAAAGAATAAATCAATCTTAATTAGTTTCCATGGTCTTATTGAAAATACCGTGTGCTTGTCTATTTAGTTAGATTGCGTAAACTCAAAAAACTAAAGTGTTTTTAAGTAATTATTTTTTAAAAAATAATTTTTTAATCAGATAAGAGTTATTTTAGAAAAAAAAAAATAGATAACTGCTTATTTTTTAAAATTACAGTTTAGACAAATATATGAAGAAAAAAAAAGTAAGCAATACATGTTTTTAATTAAATAAAAAGCCTTTCTTTTAGGAAAAAAGAGTTTGACAAACGAATTCAATAAGACTACTGGACCAGATATTACGCACTGAAATACAAGTAGTTAGGAACAGTTCATAATTAAATGTTTTAATTACAAATGACACGTCAGTAAGGATTTTTTTCCTCTTTAAAGTGGTGTTAAAATTTTAATTATATTTTATTTGTTGACGTGTCATTTTTCAATACAATTCTTAATTTAATAAGATATTATTTATTAATTTTTCTTTTATTGATTGAAATATTTACCGGTTGGCCATACTTATTTATGTGGACTACTTGGGGCAACCATATTTCAAATATATGGGCCTTTACTGATTCAGTTGTTGCTTTATTAATAGTTTGGAGCATGATAAGAAGCTCTTGAAAATGGATCCTTTATCCAATTCAATTGTTTATTTTGAAATTAATCCATCACAGCACCTCAAATAACAAATACTCCATACCAAGTATAATTTCAATAAATGCTGTTAAAAATACTTGTAAAAGCTTTACAAAGGCCACTGTGATGGAAAATGGAGCTGCAGATTCGATTTCATTATTTCATCTCGTATGAAATTGAGAGGGAAAAATAGTAAGAATGATAAAAATAAAGAAGAAATAATATGGAAAAGATGTTATTTAGATGAATAAAATAGCAAGTAGAGAAATTTCTCTCCACTTGTTTGGATGAATGAAAAAGAAATAAATAAATAATTTAATTTTTAATAATAATTAAAGAAACGTATTTTCTTAACATAAAATTATTGATTTTTTTTTAAATTAATAGTATAATTTTTAAAATAAACAAAAAAAAAGTCCATTCCATTTCATTCCAATTTAGAGAGAAAAATCTCTTTGAAAAAAACTTGTCCTTTTCAAATAAAGTAAAAATTTAGTATTTCCGTCCTGCTTCTCTTTACTATTTTCTTCCACTTCATGTCTACGAAAACAAAAAAAGGGTTAATGATTGGTTTTCACCCATCTAAAAAAAGGTTGTTATCTTAAGTTGAGAGGATTGAAAAATGATTAAATACTTAATCTTGTTCTTGATATTCTAGGCGCGTAAGGGCTTGATATGTGATATTAACGAAATTCTTTAATAAGAATCACTATATATTATTATTTTGATAATTTTTAAGGGTTTTTGAACATAAGAGAGGTAAAGGAAAAGTTCTAATAGAATAATAAGGATAAAAATGAGAGGAAAAAAAATAATTTAGGAGGTAATATGCTCAAATGTTGTATGAAATAACATCTTGAATAATGCTACAAACTAGTAAAGCGTAGTTTCTATTTTATTTATTTATTATTATTATTATTAAGGAGTATTTTCTGTTGAGCATAAGATAATAGTGAACATCTTCTTCCAATTTGGATTTTTTTTTTCATTCCTAAGAATTTTCTAGTTTAATTAAACAATTTAAATAAAACTGTTTGACAATTTTTTTTTGAGTGTCTTATAACATTTCAATAAGGAATTAGAAATTTGGTACTCACACCCACCCAAAAAGCCTACACACACTTGCTCTTTAAGATATATAAGGGTTCAAAGAAAAAGAATGTATAAATATTTTTAACATGAAACTAAAGTACTTTTAAACCACTAAGATTAATATAGTGTCAGAGATTGATTTAATATGTATAGAGTTTAGGGTTTAAGATTTAAGTTTTAGGATCTTATGTTAGTAAGTGTTATGATATTATAATTCTTATAAATAGAAGAAAAATATTAAAGTATTTCATTAACTTTTCCACTTATTCTGTATTGTTGTCAATTAATTATGTTACGTACTTTCCTTTATTTTTGTTGTTAATAATAATATATTCTCATAAATTTCCCTCATTATAAATCATTTAACTTTTGCCAAGTCTCTCTTGACACTAAAATCCTATCAACTAGAGTAATCCACTTGATGGATAAAAACAAAGGGTAATCCACTTGAGGCTCCGATTCAAGTCCCTGGCTGTCCATCTTATCAAGTGGGAAGGATTGCTAAAAACCACAGTCAACAATATCACCTTAAAAAAAAATTGTATAGTATTTTTATCTTTTAATATGCATGATTAGGAAGTACTCTCGCCAAATTAAATTATAAACAAAATTAATTAACATGTAAGAAAGTTAATTAATGTCATTTAGTTTTGTTAGTTTCAATTAAAAATAACTATTTTTCCTGTACTATATCTTCATTGAAACTCTATGTAATAAATTTTTTTTATTAAAAATAAAGTTTTAATTAAATAAAGGGTATTTCGGAGATTATAACATCTCCAGTTAGGATTTTATATTAGAAGCAAGAATCGAATTGTGATTCTCTATTAAATAACTTATGTGAATTAAATTACTTAATTAACAACTTTTTCTATGTTGGTATAAAGTTTTGGGTTAGTGGGAATAGTTGGTATCACATCTTATAGGTCTAGATTTATCATATGATTAAATGGATCTATCAGCTCGTGCTGGACTGTTTCAAAACGTGGGCTAAGAGTAACTTAATTCTGATTTTTGATTATTGGCTAATTATTTACTTATTCTGACAAGGCTAGTTAGACAATGTTGAAAAACATATATCCAACATACAATACCTAATGAAGATTATTAATTAGCAGGGGAAGGCCGGGGGAGCAAGTAACAAAAATATTGTTATGTTATCATCCATTTTGGCAGATGCACCATTACACGTAATGAAGACAAGTTATTAACGATACCAACATTAAGATGTCAACATATTTCGCAGAACATTCAAGAGTTTATAAATTGCAAGACTCTAACTACTCAAGGAGGTTGCTGCTTAATGCTTTTTATATTTATGCACTTTTGTGGGAATATCCTGTCTGGTACTATTATTGTTTTCTGTCGATGCTCCTTCCTAATAGTCAAAAAGTCAAAAGTGTCCATAAACCATTTTTTTTTTATATTTTAAATATGATACTGTTTTTAAGTATCCAAAGTAATAATTAATCCATGTGAAATACATTCAAAGTAAATATTCTTTTACCGATATAATATATTTTATATAAAAATTGAAATATAAATTCCAGATAATCTAGTCAAAGATATAAACAACTATCATTGTTATTAGTTCATAAACCACCAGTTTGTGTGTGTATATAATCGTTCTTCATTCTAACTTGAGGCTAATGCTGACTAGAAGTACCATTTTCTTTTTCATGAACAAAGTCAAAAGGTGTAGTTTGGTTTGAATTTGAATTAATCCTTTTTCGTTGTTATATGCCAACTTCCTTGGCACAACCTTTTCACAATATTTTAGAGTATCAATTGAAGCCATGGCCTGTGAGAGAGAGTTCCAAATGGCTGTCCTTCTGACATTTGTCATGATCTGGACAGCCATGTTTGTCCTCAGTGATTGTCCATATCAGGACTTTCTAGACCATTCTCTCTCCATTCTCCAACTCAACCATATAAATGCAAATGCAACCTCAATAATCTTCCACTTCACCATCACTCATTGGCCACCCTATACACCCCCCTCTTTCACACACAACTTGGTGCAACAATGATAGATTCAAACCCTCCACTCATGCAACACTATGGTGCACTTGTGAGAAACTCTTGTGAAGCCAAACAGCCTAAGAGTTTTCATGATCAAAAACATGATCCTCCAGTGGATGCATGTGACCTACCCTTGATAGACCTTAGTGGTCTCAAAAGCTATGATGAAAGAGAGAGGCTGGCTTGCATTGCAGCAATATGCAAGGCATCATCAGAATGGGGATTTTTCCAAGTTGTGAACCATGGGATAAGCCATGAGTTGCTAAAGAAAATGAGGGAAGAACAAGTGAAGTTGTTTGAAGTACCCTTTGAGAAGAAAATCACTTGTGGGCTTCTAAATGACCCATATAGGTGGGGGACACCAACAGCTACTCGTTCAAATCAATTCTCTTGGTCTGAAGCTTTCCACATTCCTCTCACCATGATCTCGGAATCTGCTTCCTGGGGTGAATTCAGTTCTTTGAGGTATCTCAGTCTTACAATATTCCAGTTTTTACATCGTTTAAGCATGTTTGGATATAACTGTAGAAGAGTTTTTTTTTTTTTTTTAATAAATTTTTTATAAAGTTTTTCTGTTTAAAATAAAGAGTTGAATTTCTAAAAGTACTCTTCTAAACTCGTATTCCAACATGTTTTTGTTCGAAATGTCTCTTTTCCTATGCTCAATGCACCGTTGATGATAACAATCCTATAGCATGAATATTACAGAACGATGACAAAGACTAATGAATGCAGAACAAGGACAAATGTGTCTTATATAGGGTGGTGAGAAAGAGACTCACCACCCTCTTTCGAAGTGTTATTTTCACTGTTTAAAATACACATATTTATTATGCTCACTAGGTCCATTCCTTATACATAGGCATGGCACTGAAAATGACTTAAATGATAAAACCTAGGGATTAATTTCCTCTTTCTCTCTCTTCTCAAATACTCTTGGCGGCTCTCCTAAGACTTTTCTAAAATTGATGACACTCTACTTACTCTTGGAGTATGTATTAATGAAATTTTCAGTGGACACATGCTCTGTCACTCTAGCCTTCATATAAGCAAACACTAGAAGATGGGTACGTACGTGAAACTAGGCAAATTCTAGCAAGTACCTTTAGAGAGACTAGTAAATAATTAAAAGTAGAAAGTTCTTTTCTAGGACAGTGTAATGCTATTAATGCATCTTCAGCGTGTTTTCTAATAAAATATTCTATTCTTTAATTCCTTAGCCACCAATTTTTAGATATTCATTAGTAATTTCCTTCAAACTACAAGAAATGTTATTGTAATTTGCTCTTTATTATTGTTGTGTTGGAAATTTATAATACTAATATACAAAAATATATATACATCTGATTTTTTTTAATACACTTTTGTTTAATTTGTTGTACAATATGTATAATAATAATAAGATTTAAATATAAGATCTCTTATAAATTATCCAAATTCTCTATCACTAGATCCGTTTAAGGTTATTTTTTAATATGCTTCTTCTTATTAATTAGCTGGAATTCATCAAAACTTAAAACATATGTATGAAACCTCATTAAATTGACATAAGACTCGTTATTATTTTGTGAATTATAATAAATTTCAAAGGAATGAAAAGTATTTGTCAATTCTTTAACCATCACACTTTCAAAATCCTAGGAGAATACTAATAAGCAATAAAAATACTAGATATTTAAACACAAAGATTGAATAATAACACAACTTGTCGGGTTATTCCCATATCTTGACAGGTTGGACTGTAAAATTTATGCTGAGAGACAAATACTGGTCCTTCTGAGCAATATTTGTCTGGAATATGAACCTTCTCCCATGCATGATTTCATCCCCACACGTTTATTTGTTTCTAACACTGGCTGGTGCAGGGAAGCAATAAATGAGTTTGCAGAAGCGATGCTAGAAGTATCTAGGTTGTTGGCCAGCATTCTAGCACAAAACCTGGGTTACCCTAAGGATGCAGTTGAAAAACTTTGTGATGCTGGCACATGCTTTCTGCGACTGAATCACTATCCATGCTGTCCAAAATCTAAAGAAGAAATTTTTGGATTAGTGCCTCACACTGACAGTGATTTCCTTACTATCCTTTGTCAAGATCAGGTCGGTGGACTCCAACTCATGAAAGATTCCAAATGGGTCGCTGTAAAACCAAATCCAGATGCTCTAATTGTCAACATTGGGGACCTTTTCCAGGTAAAAAGTTCAATTTTTATTTTTACTTTATAAAATATTATTATACTAAATATAAAGTCGATAATCAATATTTGTTGAAAAACTTGATTGAATATTAATAATATATTATAAAGTTATGATTAATCTTTGTCAAAAAAATTTACTAGATAGTAGATACATATATAAAGAAGCAAATTATTAGGTGTCGTTTAACTATGAATATGTATCATTTCTAACATCTAGACCATTACAACCAGAGTGGAGAAAATAAGTAGTAGTGCCAAAAAGGAATTTCCAAATTTAAGGGTTCTTTCTTACTCTAATAATTATATAATGGCACATGGCATGCCAACCTTTTTCCAAAGGATTATATTATATTATAGGCAAATGAGTCAACGAATCAAGATTCCATATAGAAGAGAATAAAATGGTTATTTGTATCATCCTTCAACTAGAACAGTGGCACTTTCGAAGGTTACAAATGAAAACTGAAAGAAAACTAAACAACGCAGCTTCCTTTATTTCCTCTTTAGGCTTAAACGTAGTCTCGGTGACTGCTATAATAAAATCAAATTTAGAGTGACGGCTAAAATGACTATTGCAGCATCTATTATTGAGACAACCCTACAACCAAAGATGCATGCATGAACACGTTAATTTTCTACTAAAACCTTTGGTTATATGTTAAAAGAATTATATAATAATAAATCGTCGGTTACATGTCAATGGTTCATTCACTAACAAGATTTTTCTTTGGAAAACCCAAATACAGGCTTGGAGTAATAATGAGTACAAAAGCGTGGAGCACAAGGTTGTGGCAAATGATAAAATGGAAAGATACTCCATAGCATACTTCCTATGCCCATCTTACAGTACTGTCATAAACAGCTGCAAAGGACATTCTGTATATAGGAAGTTCACGTTTGGAGAATACAGACACCAAATTCAGGAAGATGTCAAGAAAATAGGACGCAAAATAGGACTATCAAGATTTTTAATTTAAGATCATACCCGCAGATTTGGATAAAGCAATAATGATTTTGCAGAATTAATCCTCTATTCTCTAAGACGATTAATACTATTTTGCCTTTGTAGGAATAGAGAAAAGAGGCAGTTTCATGCTTTTTTTTTTTTTTTTCTAAATAAAGTTTTTCTGTTCAGATGCAATATGTAAGAATAAAGAGAAGAAAAAAAAAAGCAAATAAACAAAAAACAAGGTGGTTGTTTACGATACACCAAGTTAGAAGCACCGGGAAAAAAAGGGTTTTCTTTCCTCATTGAATATTTTTCCTTTCGTTTTTGCTATTATGATTTTAATTTCAACATCAAAATAAAATCGTAGACAATAATGGATGTACATTCTACCAATTAGTGACGATCATAAAGTTATCCACGCAAAATAACGTTATCTAACATGTGTGAACTTGTCACAAAGTTCCTCAAAACTCGGGATCAAAATGGTGAAGGAAATCAAAGTATAATTGGATCAATAAAAAATGGCACTTTTATACGAAAGGCGAGATAGAAATTGTAGCAGCAGAAAAATAATTTTTAAAGAAAAAAATTGTTTGATTTAACTGATCCTCAAGGGCAGAGGTGGCATGTATGAAGAAATGTGTCCGACAAGAAGAGAAAAAAATAGAGAACAAGATATTCTCCTTTCTGAAAGCTAGAAGAATATGCTTAAAATCCAACAAATGCATCAAAACAAAAGTGCTAATCTGTCCCTCTCACTTTGCAAAGATTCCATATAAAAAGTATATGGAGACATATTTTCCCTTCAAGAACGTGGCCTTTTCCTATAGCCAAAAGGTATCATAGACAGCAACTGCTATTATACATTGATCTTCTTTCTCTGACCAAGGTCCCTGAACTTAATTTAAAGAAAATGTTCCAAGTTTGAAGGCATGCCCAAAATTTCAAGAAACACATCCATTAGGCCTTTTTGGAAAACAAAAAAACCTACATAAAAATCCATATTCTGTAATTATTTCAATTATTATAATTATCCTTCCTTCATCCACTAATCAATATAAAAAAATAAACTCTCTAAAGTTCACGGGGATGCATGAGCTCAGATATCTTGCTTGTTTGCTTTTCTTCTCTTCTACATATGACATGTTCATAATTTACCCAGGAATATTCACAACAGTAGTCACTAATAAACTTTCTTAATTCCCCACCCCCAGGCAATGAGTGATTGAAATTCAATTTTATTGTTTAAGAATTTGATCAATAAAGAACCATAGACACTAACATTACACAGACTTAGCCCAACTAGGATAAGACCGCAATTATCAAATGATTTACGGGTGAAACTACTATTATAGATTGTGCAAGAACTCTAACTCAATGCTTTGCCATGACATGCATGCTTGTGTTGATGAATCTACATGTCTTGGTCAAGAAACATTGCCACCTTGTCTTTCAGGGTGTTTCTTTTCTTCACCAAGGGAACTATTTCTTGTCCAGCAAGTTCTTCTTGACTTTGCCTGGTGAACTCGTGGGTAATCTCTATATTTTCTACAATAGATTTGCTCTTCTCCTCCTTCTCAAGAGTTTTCCTCAGCAAGGGACCCAAGAACAGGTCCAGCATATCTTGAGCAGGATCACCTGTTTGAGAGGTGCTTGTAGCAATTAATTCATCAGTTGTTGAAGCAGAATTGGATAAAGTTTCCCTTCCAGACCCGGATGAAATTTTGTTCTCACAAGGGGAATCAAGGGTAGTTTCTGTTTCATTTGTAACTTGAAATTGCAATTTTGATTCACACTCTCTACTCGATATTTCTTTTCGATCCTTTTTCTCATAATCTTTGACATACTGCATGCACATTACAAAATTTCAAATGTTAAAGAAGAGGTAGGGTAAATATAGAATGTTCTCATCATCAACTGTCTTAGGAGACTATATTTTATAATCACTGAAATATATGATAATATGTTGATAGATAGAGAAATAGTATAACATTACTCAAGCAAAACCAAAAGCTGTTTTTATTGTTCAGTCTTATCAGAAAATTACCTGTTCTGCTATGGCCATCAAATCTTCAACTGTCAGGTCCATGGCATCGTCGCTAGATACTTGATCTGGATATACACCGAAACTACCATGGCTAGAATCCTCTAATTTTTTTCTTTTCTTTAAAGAAGATCTCTGATCTCTATCCTTACACAAATCACCTTTTTTCTTCTTCTTTTGAGTAACATTTTCGCGGCTTCCATCTTGTTGGTCTAATTTTTTTCTTCCCTTAACTTCTCGCTTGGCTCTTAAGTTTGACTTCGTCCTTAAAGGTTCTCTATTGTGATCTTTATTGGCTGCATTAACTGCAATGATGTCTCTTTTTTTACAATTTGTTTCAACAGCATCGTCAGAGTCACTCACACGGGTGGCAGTGGCACTAACCTTCTGCATCATCCATGGTGGTAACTGCCGTTTACTACCCTCAACAGAAGAATGCATTCCTATAAATATGTGAACTTTTAATTAATACTCAAAGCAGAAATTACACTTAACAGTTGAATCATCTGCACAGATAATTTTTCTATCACACAAGATAGACTAAGTTATTTAACAGTTGGGATAAATAGGGCAAGCAAATTTAGTCAGAGTCTATACAGAGTGGTATACGAAGTGCAATTAGGGGTAAAATTAGGGTTTCCCAAATTCAGGGTTGTTTGTTAAATTTCGAAAGGGAAAGCGAACCAAAGATCTGTCAAAAACTCAATTAGCATAAAAAACAAGAAAAGAGAGAACCTTGGCTTTATACCTGGAATCGTCAACGTCAAGGTTCCGATCCAACAGCCAAAATTCAGCGTTGGACAATAGGGTTTTTCAAAACAGGAGAAGAAATGCAGGGTGAAGAGGTGGTCAATGAGAAATTGGTTTTCTATGATATTTTTTCATTCCATAGAAAGAATTATTTGTTGTAAAAATTAATTGGCATGTATTACAGAAGAGAAATTAGTACACCCAAAGATTATTTGTTGTAAAAAAATAATTGGCATGTAATTTATTTCTCACTTTTAGTTTTTTAATAAAATTATTTATATGATAAGTTGTATGTTTGAGATAATAATTTTAAATTTGTAAATTTTTTTAAATAAATTATTTTTATGAAGTTAAAATTTTAAAGTATATATTATTTTTAACAGTTTTTTTAAAACTAATTTACTACATAAAAATATATATTTTTTATTATATTTAAATAAATTAAATATCTTAAAATTATTTTTCAACAACCTTAATCAAACAAAATTTCATTCTAATTATAATTGATTATATCAATAATTGATAATTCATATAATCAAATATTGAAATAATTTTTAACTATTTCAAACATACTTTTATTATCATTTTCTGATGATTAAAATAAATAGTATAAAAAGTTAAATTTATCATAATTGATTAACTATATAAGATAATTCTACGTTATCATTAAGCTTACAAAAGAAAATTTTGCTTCTAATATTCATTTTAAAAAACAATAAAAAAAGCATAATGAATAATTATTTATAAAATTGTTATTCTTGATTTTATGTGAAGGATTGTAATTATAAAAAAATTATTATTTTTTACTTTTTTATAAATAGTCTGACAAATATAAAGATCATTAACAATTATTAAACAAAATATAAGAATATATAAAATAATTTTAAATATCACGTGATATCTCAAAGACTTAAACAGTTGGTTGTTAGAATTACTTAAAATGATAAATTTATCTTATAATAAGCATATAAGTAATTAATAAAAAATATAATAGTAAGAAAATAATGATAATTTTAAATTTTAAAAAAATGAAGAATATTTTTTTAACAAAAATCAAAATTAAAACTTTTATGTTTCACAATGGTTAAGAACATATTTAAACATGGTTATATCAATTAAATAGATATTAAAAAAGTTTGCAATTTACATTAAAAATAGTGAAATTTATAGGATAATTAACTTTTTTTTTTGGTAACCTTGGTACTGAAATAAAGTATTTATTGTTAAAAGCGGTGATTAATCCCTGTTAAAAGTTGTGAGCACATACAAGTGAATATTTCCCTTCTAATATAGTCTATGGTTAAAATTCAAAACTTAGTTCACACAATTAACTTGGTACACATTTTCTTAGATATATAACATATATAAATGTAATTATCTACACATTTATAGACTATTTTATCTTTAAATTTTTAAATAATAAAAATAACTAACCATTTTTATAAACATGAGACTCGAATTTAAGAGTTTGTAGCTAGAATTAAAGATAACAGTAATTAATCTAACAAGTATTAATAATTATTAAATATTTTTATTAAATAAAATATAAAAATATAAAGTGTTTCGACTCTATTAATTTAAAATAAAATAATTGTTCAACTGAATTTTTTTTAGCTCTTCTCATTTTAATTTGTTCATTTTTGAGAGATTAACAAAAAAAAAAACTTAATAACTAACAATAAGCGCCAACACATGTTTTCATTTGATTGCTTTAAATAAAAAATTCAAATCATTATGTTATTTAATTTAATTACTAATTAATATATTTTACTCGTATTATTACCTAACTAGTAAGCAGGGTGCCTGGGTTTGGGGAACTTGGCAAGGAAAATTTTTATTTGGGTTTCATGGGAAAGCCCATCAGGTGGAGATCTTGTATGTAGAAATCGTGGCCTTGTTGTATGAGTTAAGTATTTACTTAAGCTTAGGATACCGTAAGATACATTGCTATTCAGATTCTTCAACTGCAATGCGTTTGATAAGGAGTCGATGGACATTCATCATCAATTTGGAAATGAGATTATTATCACCCAGAGGATGATAGACAAGGATTGAGAGTGCAGCGTGGAGCATGTGTTTTGCAAGGACAATCAATATGCAGATTTTCTTACCAAGATAGGAGCATTGTCAGCTAATTCTTTGAAGGTTTTTCTAGAAGTACCAGATTCTTTGAATCCTAGTTAAGAGTTGATACGTTAGAAACTGTTTTTCGTAGAGATAGCTAATTTCGGTGTTATTGTTTATATAGCCTTTTTTTTCCTCTTAATTGTCACACACAAAAAAAAATAAACCTAGAATTATCATGAATTATAGTTACATTAGAAAAAGCATAATAGTCAATACTAGTTGTGAAATCCATCATATAACAACCTTTGAACATTCAGTGTACACAATCATTCCTTTCATCAATTTTAAAAATAAATTTATTTTGACAGTACGTAATGAGTGATATTTTTAAATTTCAGAATTAAAATTGTGTAATTAAAAAATACTTTCAAAATTTTCCTAAATAAAAAGCGAGTTAAACTTGAAAGAAAAATGATACGGCTCAAACGAGGTTGTTTTCTATATTGGAAGTAACTTGATGAATGTATCCTTTTAACATATTCATTAAGAGATACATGTTAAGTGTTTTCTGTAGTAACTGCAACAAATATGGATCCAGATAAATTAAAAAGTTAATGAAATTCCTTTCGATAAATTAGGCATGCTAAAATAGAATCAAACTTTCATTTCTCAATGAACAATAACATATCTTCAACATTCTTAATAATGGTATATACCAGATCCATCTTCACTGGCATTCAGCAAGCAAGATAAATAGTTCTTCGTCAGTTATTGCTCCCAACTCCATTGCTCTTTCAAGTACAGTGAGCCCACCAGCATCTTTAACTGACGGCCTAGCACCCCTGGTAAAATGGAAGTGTGTTAGAGATGTATGTGTTGTGTGCAATAAATCTCTGATACAAACATAAGATAGGGAACGGATAAACAATCCAATTAGTATGGCTTAATCAAAGAAAAGGAAAGATATTATTTGAGATAATTATGAATTACAACATTTCTAGAAAACATGGGTAGGAACTAGGAAAGATATTGATTGAGATAATTATGAATTACGACAGAATTTAAATTATAGAAGAATAAAAAACAACTGGGAGATTGAGATGAAGAATTTATGATTTCCTATTAGACGCTACGCCGAAAGCCCGAAGACAAAAATCGGCTTATTAAAATAAAAGGTATTACCTTCTTAATAGAAACTTTGCCAATTGATTTTTCCCACTTGAAATGCAATGGTGCAAGGGAGTTCTTCCATGATAGTCATGCAAGTTTACATCAGCACCAAATTGGAGCAATAACTCAACCATCAATGCACTGCCAGTATGGCATGCAAGATGTAATAATGACCATCCACGGAAACACCTCTGTGTCTCGTTAGTCTGTTCATCACTCAGACAGGCTTCGGGATCATGCTGATTCCCTTCTGCATCAGCATGGTAAACCTCATCATTATATTTTGTGTTTATCAGATTTGAAGTTGCTGATGTGACAATAAGGCGATACACTTCTCGTACGTTTACGGCCTGAACTGCTTGCCAGATTCTTATGGAAACTGAAGGATTCTCAGGTACATCCTCTTCTCGGATGATAAGAGATTTCTCTACGTACTGATTAAGAAAAAACAAGAGTTACAACAAATTACCAGTAAAAAAAAAAAAGCTGGGGAAAGCAGAGGCTTCCTAATCGATAATACAGAAATACATATCATTAAATGTCAAAATGTAAAACTGACATAGGACAGGCAAAAACAGTATGTAGAGACAGAGCGATCAACAAACATAAGAGAATCCAAAGATGGAAATCCAATTATAAAAGATTACCAACCTAATTTAATTATTCAGGTAAAATCTCTCCATAGAAGCAACCATCAACTATCCTATTTCAAATTCTATTAGCAATGAATACAAGTAATTATTATAACCAGAAAAGTGAAGTAAAATCCACAAAACATTCTTGAATTCCAATTGAAGGCCAAGTAATATAACTTCCTAAATTGTTAGTTATAACTAAAACCTTCATAATTCAAAAACATTTCCAAGATAATCCTGAATGCTGGTGCTTATGGATATTAACAAATACCTCAGTGAACTCACCAATAACATAATTTTTAATTTTTTTCTTCTGAATTGGATAGGATATCATTATTAAACAGACATAAATTTAAATGAAATAGAGTTATCCTATCTTACTCATGGAAAGAGATTGTCACATGTCTAACATATCAAGCTGAATTTATTGCAGCAAACCATGAAAGCTTTCCCCTAAAAAAAGTGAAATTGAACCGTAACTGCTTACCTTTGCTTGGATGTACTTCTCCTTGTCTTGGAAGGCATCTGCAGAGCAAGGTTTCATAGGCACATTTGACTCACCTACCCTGCAGGTAATTGTTCCCAAAGAGAGAGGGTTACAAGCTTAAACTACTCAGTCACTCAACATGATACAGAACACAAAGTCCATTGCTTAAGGAAAGCCATAATTTTACCTTTCATGATCAAGTAGAAGCAAGCCCTCCCAGATTGAATTACAATAAGTATTACCTAAGTTACCAAATAACTCCAAAATGGTAGGTTCCCAAACCCTAACGTCTAATGTTATAGATCTCACCTGCAGTTCACAAATAAAATTTAATTACTTTAGAAAATGGTAATCAATTTTTTAATACTGAACTGGAAATCACATTGTTTAAGGAAATTGACTCGGTTCAATTATAAAGGAAAAAAAAAAGTGCGTATAGGCTCTTACAAACGGGAAGATTTTAAGATATAACAATATTTTAGAGAGAATTTGGAAAATGAGAATGCATTCTTATTCGGTAGAATGTAGTAGATAGGTTATGCAAGACATGTGTATAGGCTCTTAATAGACTTGGCGGAGTCTGTTTTCTAAGCTAATATTAATCAAGTGCAACTTTCAAGATACTAACATAATACTCACCAAACACTAAATGCATTTATTTCCAAAGTAAATACTAACATAAAATTCCCTAAGCACATTTGGTATTATTATTTCCAATAATAGACTCAAGTAAATAAATGGTTTTGCATTTATATCCAAAAGAATGCACCTTTGAGACATGCACTCCAAGATTTCTATGCACTCCAGAGCATTCAATACACAGCAATATGCCAAGGTTTAGAGATGCCCAATCTGGTTCAGAAGCACTGCACTCAGCACATTTATCATTTCCAGGAATTCTCCTTAAAATATTTGACACACTACCCATTTCCTTGGAATATACTTCATCCCTTAAAGATCTATGATTATCCTCTGATTGACTTGCCAACGAAGCACCAATTGCTGAGGTTTTATTATCTGAATGCACTCTACTGTATTGAGGCTGCAACAATTATAAATTGAGTAGTGTTGATATAACATCTTACATGGACATCTTGGTATCAAGTTATGCTTCAAAAAGTTAGAACAGAAAACCTGTTGAAGAAACTGAGAATTAAAAAGTGATGTGATAGCTCCAGTAATTTTGTTTACCCAGTCCATCCTATCAGCTTCATTTTCAGCCTGATAAAACCAATTTAAAAATCAGCTAATAGAAGACCAATCCAGAACCAGCAGATAGAACTTGATACAAGACCTAACAAGGTCAATCGAAAAGGAAAAACTACAACTTTAACCTAACCAACAAAATGTTTATTTTCTACTAAAAATAGAAAAAGTGTATCAGACAAATTAGATCAGCACGAGATTAAAAATTGTGTTCAGTTGTCATCAAGATAAGTTAACACAATTCAGTAGCTTATTTTATGAATTATTAAATATATGAAATAAGTCGATCAGTCACCTGTAGTGTATATGTTTTTGAAGGAGAAATTATCCTAAAACAAAGCCGTAGATCTGTATCCTCTGCATCCATCTTTATCGTGGATGTGCACAGATCAATTGAACAACAACCTAAAATATCCTCATTAAGCGACGCAGCCCTGTTGTGTCTTGAGCGGAATCTACCAAACATGCCGCTGTTTTGTTCAGAAGAACGAGTATAATTATATGACTGAAAGCCCTGGGGAAAGATTTGGAATTAAACATTAGCAGATTGTTTTATAGGTTAAAACAAATATAAGACAAAAATAACTACCATGGGTTTGGTACCCTTCACTCTGTAATAGTATAAATTCCCTTGGTTATCAAGTACAAAGAACCTTCGTTTCCAATCTCCACGCATGGTTGATGGTCGTTTTAACAGATAGCCCTGTTTAACTGTCTGAACCTGTAAGCAAGGGTAAAAATAATTAGAGAATACAAAATAAGACATCAAAATAAAGAAAAAGGGGAAAAAAGTGTATTTAACAATCAACATAAAGTCATAAACAGGAGAAGGTTCACATATTAAGCAGAATAAGTCAAGTACTTGCCTCCCCTTTGGTTGCTGCAGACTGAATCCCTGATTCAAAACTTCTGTAAGAGTTCAAACCTACAACATGTGTGCCATCGGAACCGGGCATGGTTTCTGTATAATTGCTAGATGCTCGTGTATTCTCCAGCTCTGCCTGTGTTCTGTATTCCTGAATCCGCTTGGCAAGCTTATCTTGCTCAACATTAGCCAATTCTTTAGATTGCTGTGCATAAGTTAGCACCTGAGTTCAAGAAAGTAATCCAAAGAAAAATCAAGTCAGGAATTTCACTCAACAATCTAGGTTTGGGCCACTGAGAGCCACCAGCATCAGATTACTTTAAAGTTGATCATTATAAAATAAAACTGACAAAGATAACATTTTGTACCGTCACAATGTATAACTATGACCCATTGTTCATACATAACATGCCCCAAATCAGGGAAGAATCAAACACAGATAATACCAGCCATGCAGAAGATTTATAACCTTATTTGTTACCTCTACTAACATTTTTAATTTTTAAAAGGGCACCCTAATGCACAAGGCTCCCATCAGGTAGGCTCTGGACACAAGCGAAAAGGTTGTTTCTGGGATTTGAACCCATAATCACCAGGTCATAGGAAGCAACCATACTGCTGTGCCAAGGCTCACCCTCAACATTTTTAAATTTAAATCAAATAAAAAGCTAGACTTCAATTAATCACCACTCCCAGAAACCCCAAAGCAACATTGTAAGAAAATATGACATAAGACCATAGAGATAAATAGTTTTAGAAAACTCTTTTCTTTGGATCATGTAACAGGAAAACTGAAGCGATGAAATATGATCATTCTTAGTGTTGAGTAGTCAATTAAAGAAAAGCAGTTAATGACATTAGAAGTGATAGTGGAATCAGGAGCTGAAAGCTCTTTTATGCCATACACATACAAGCAGCACTTAGGCAATGATCATGAACAGCAGACTCGTAATGAAGGCACAACGTATCATATTAGATTATTTAGCAGTGACTAATCATCAGAATCTCAATACTATATTCAACCACCAAAGGATATTGAAGAATCAAGAATGCATCAACAAGCAATAAGTATTCAGTAAAGAAGTACATGAAAAGATAGAAATGTTAAGCATATTTTGATATTAAAAGTCATCTTACATAATAGTTCGCATTTTTTTCTTTTGAAGTACCTAGAATGAGCAACATTTTAACATGGGAGAAACAATTCTTTGAACAAATAATCACAAGTTCATAACTGTCATTGTTCTCATTTACACTTTATCACAAAGCAGTCATCCCTGTGCTAAGTCAATTTTTCCAAGGCCGACAAAATTAAAAATAAAGGAGACTATTAATTTTATACTAGGATAATTTTTTTTTTGACACGGTAGTGGACAGTGAGATATAAATTAAGTTCCACACTTGTAAAGGGCATTTCATCTATCCCTATCAACTGCTAAATATTGTTGTTTGAAATCAACAAATAAAATACTCTACCTTCAACTTGATAAAGTCGGTTTGGCTACTAAAAACGAATGAAGTACATCAATTATCATCCTTTTCGAACTGTTTTACGATTTTATCAAATATGTTCATAATTTTATCTTCAACATATTTCCTTGTAAGGAACAAAGTGAACTACATTTTATACCTGGTGAATATAGGGCTCCATTTGGCTTAGTAAATCATAACCCTACAGCAAAAGATAACTTGTTATTACAAAGTAATAATTAAAAAAATAAAAGAGTTGAATGTTCACTTTTGAAGAATTGTCCACCAATATACAGACCAGCTTAAAATATCTCAAATGAGCATCCATTATTGCACTAATGGACTCCAAAAACTCGTACTTCTTTTTTGCTTCAATATTCATGAGAGAGTTTACCTGCACTCCTTAAAACCCAATAGCCAGGTTCATAATAAAAAAAAAGGCTGTGGAGAGTCAGCAAAAAAATATTCATAATTGTTGAAGACATACTAGATTGAAGCGACTTTTTTCAAATGTTGATTTTGAATTTTGTAGATCCTGCAATGGATCAGACTCATCAGAGTATGAGACAATTAATTAAATAATGACTCACATATAGTCATAAAAAATAAGGAAAAAAAATTTTAAAAATAAAAGGCTTAAATGTTTTTAATGCTTCTAAATATGACTAAATTTGGTTTTAGTTCTCCAAAAAAGATGGTTAGCTTTAGTCCTCATAAATTTAATTTTTTTTTAAAGTAATCCCTGTCGGTGATATGGAAATGGCAATCCCAGTCGGTGATATGGAAATGGCATAGTCCAATCATTTTGAGATGGCATGAGACGTAACATGTCTAGATGGAAGTCACATCATTGGTAAATATTGATAGAAATTATTTTCAAAATTTTTAATATTTATGAGGGCCAAAATCAATAAAAAAAATTGGAGGATTGAAAACATGTTTTACCCAAAATAAAGAGAGAGAGCAAGAGAGAGAAAGAGAGAGATAGAGAGAGAACATATGGATTACAAGACTATGTGAACAAATATGTAGAGTCATCCATGAATCGAGATCAACAAGTTAATAAAATAGAATCAAAGGCCTTGTCCCAAGACAGCAGACTCTGAAATGCATTAGGACTTTAAATTATTGGGTAGCTTCCAGTGGAACCACAAGGCACACATATTGGCCTCACCATACTGTCCCTTAAATTAAATCTATATTTCCCATTTTCAATACTACAGATTGCATTTCATCCCTTCAGCCTACAACTTGTATTATGGATGATATCAGCCCTGTTAAACTCTAGATTCAACTCCTTAGCCTTATACCCCCCCCCCCCCCACCCAACAAAACCA